CATACTCAGTACGCTCTGTCAGCGCATAGAGCTACCCGATGGCGGGCATAAGTCGCTCCGGCGCGAACCTCCGGTGATCCTTGGCGATACGTCGCTCAGGAGCCTGACGAACCTCGGCGACCAATCGGCGCACCGAGCGCGACCCTCCGCGAACCGATAGCATACAGAAAGCATACAGAAAGCATACCAAAAGCAAACAAATCTTTTTACGTCGGGCGTTCTGTAAAGATACGTCTTGCTATCAAAATTTACAATGGTTTTGTTGTGTTGTAACAATATGGTAGAAAGTAGGAATCATGGTTATGGACCACTACGGGCAAAATAGAATAAATTTTTCCACGTGCCAATTATAACGAATGATGTTGCTTTTTAACAAACTAGTCATTACAAGAGTGTGATTATTTCACAATATTTTTTAACAGTGTGCTTTTTCCTAGCGCCGTCAGAGTGTAGCTAGACACACATCAGCCTGCTGGCTAACTGATGATACAAATTGACAATCAAAAGCCGTATTGTTTTGGTTCTTGGGCATTTGGGCGTTGGCGGATTCAACCTTATAAACAAATGACGAACCGACAGATTTTTTGAAAAATTTATTAAAAGACAAATACACATTTTTCTGTGCGAATTGGTGTTGCTATACTGCTCTGCTAGCTACTTGTTTAAAGCTTGTGGTTCATTTCTAGTGGCTTGCCTTTGTGCCATGATACGTAGTGCGCGGACTTTAGAGGGACTACAAAAGGTGAAAAAGCCAAAAAAACAAAAACGTAATGTCCCTGTAAATATTGCAAGCATAACGGCACAAGCAATGGTGCAAAGACAATCGCCCTATAAACGACTAGTACACACTAAAATCTAAACACTACTCATAACATACTGCGTTCTATTAACATGCTCCGCTCCCGCATTCTTTAGAACACGCCAGTATGAAGAAATTTCTTCATACTGGCCAATCATAAAAAATGCGTGAGCGGAGCATGTTTACATAACTCTGAAAGCTATGAATGAAAATGTTTAATAAGATTTTCCTATGAAGTATAAGCCTCCCATAGCGGCCCTGACTACTTCAGTGTGCTGGGCGCGCGGGCAACACTTTTATCTTGTGGGCGCGCCAGGCCCACAGCGCCTCGAGGGCGAAGACGCCCATGGCCGCCGCATGGCCCACCCCCAGCACGACAAAGGCCGACCCCAGCTGAAACAGCGTCAACGGCCGTGGGCCCCGCAACAACGCCAGCTTCCTGCCGTAGTGGGCGTCCTCCCGGGTGAACTCCGAGCGGCGCCAGTGCGCCAGAAGCCCCGCCGCCTCGACGCGCGCCACCGCCGTGACCATGGGCTGCTCCAGCGGCGACCCCCTCGTCGCCATCCCGATCACCTTGAAGGATGAGACCTTCAGCTGGATGAGGTGCAGCTTCCTGGGCGGCACGGTGTGGCGCCTCAGGGCTCGGAGGGCGTAGTGGTCCAGGAAGGTGACGAGGGCACAGTTGCGGGCGGTGGCGATCACGTCGATGGTCGACTCGACCTGCGAGAACGGCACGGTCATGTTGCCAGTCAACGCCAGTTGTTGCAGGGTGAGGATGGGCAGCCCGCTGTCCTGGACCTCGCGCAGGCTGTCCAGGTCACGCCGAGGCACGGCCGAGGACAGCTTGCCCAGCAGCAGGCCCTGGTAGGCGGCGGTCAGCACGACGCAGGCGAGCAGCCAGGGGGCGAGCATGGGCCGGGGCGGGGCGGGCGGCGGGGGCGGCTGTCCCAGCAGCGGAGCCAGCGCCTGCAGCACCGCGCCGCTGACGTCCCGTGTCCTCGCGCACCGAAAGAACACCACCGTGCTCAGGGTGGCCAGCCCCGTGGCGCACCAGAGCATCGCGGAGAACTCGACCGTGACCGCGGCCAGGACGCTGACGCTCGGGCCGAAGCCCGCGGGTACGATGACGCCGACGTGATGCCTCCCCATGTCGACGACAACAGTGATCTCGTCTGACCTCCCCACGAAGAAGACCGGCAGGTCCGTGAGGGCGGCGCCTAGAGCACACTCCCTCAACGCTCTGGTCAGTCGATGATAGCCGATTACCTCATGGCTGCCCGCGGCTGCATCTGAACCTGAGCGATGCTGCTCGTACCTTCGACCGGCCAAGTTCACGACGCTCTTTGTCAGCTCCGATAACGTCGTCAACCTTTTTTTGGTCAGCATGAACACGGCGGGCGCCTGGCTCGGGCGCCAGGCCGTGCAAAACTCCTGGAAGACCTTGGCCCCCCGGCGCCAGCGTTGCGCGACGGGTGACCACAAGTCCGTCTCGATGATGGTCATCTGCTTGTGTTCGCAAGCGTCCTCTGTCGCGCAGGTCAGGTTGTAGAGGGCGGTGCTGCCGTCGGGGGCCGTGAGCGCCAGGGCGTACTGCATTGCCCCCAGCCACAGGCCCGTCTGCGACACTTGCCTGAGCACCTCGCCCCGGGGGCTGGCCACGTTCGCCCAGAAGATGGCTCTGACCACCCTCAAGGGATCGAACGTCCTCATGGCGGACAGCAGTGTCTCGAGGTCGCCAGTGTGAAAGAAGTGTACGCGATGCGTGGCCTCGAGGACGAGTTCTAGCCGCGGGTGTATGTGGTGACGGATGCTTAGCGCGAAGGGGTTCGAGTCCAGCACCCTGGGGATGTCGGCGGACAGCTCCCGGAGGAAGCGGCCGGTCCAGCGCGTCCCGCCCGTCACGACGAGCGTCGCCTGCTGGGGCGCCAGGAACGGCGTGAGCAGCGCCGCGGCGCTCATGGCCTCGGGGGCCGCGGCCGAGTCCACGACGGGCAGGTTGGCCCGCACCCCGGGCGCCGCACAGCAGAGGAGGAGGCACAGGGCGAGGAGGGCGGCCTCCATGGCGGCGGGTCCCGGGTCGCACTGGCGCGACGCTCCTCCGAGCCGCCCAAAGTCGTTGTGGCAATAATTGCGAGCCTCTCAATGCTACCGCCAGCATGCCCATCGCAGGCTCTCTTAAAAGGGAGAAAGGCGTAAGTACCGAGGAAGTACGGCCTCCGGCGCGGGCGCAGGCCAGCACCACTGAGACAAAGCAGTTGGGCAGGCCAAACGCAAGCGTGACACATGTCATGTCGCACCAAACGGGCTTAATGGACCCTTCCTGGGACGGCGGTGGTGGTGCCAAACGTCCGGGCGCAGGGTACCAGGAACCGTTATCGCTATCGTTCGATAGGTCCTCGCACTTAAAAACGCGACAGTGGATGGAAGCATGTGGGAACAAAAATAAATAAATTACTACCTTCACTTATCTTTACCCTGGACTTGGACTTACCTTCCAAGCCCAGGACTTGACCAGGGACGGCTTTGGCGCCAAGCGTCCTGGTGCAGGGCCAGTTTCAGACTACAAAAAGCTCATTTCTGCGGCTACATTGCACATTAACCTGACTATTAACCTCTGTCACCCAAACTATTACCGAACGACCGACCCGACTATTACCTGAGTATGAATACCGCCCCTCCCCCTCGTGTCGATCTTACCGGTTTCAAAAAATGATCATAAACGTGGGGCGTGGCGGGGGGAT